ACGCACACACCGCAGCGGCCGCTGGGCAGACAGCGTGACCCGCGACGAGGCGGGGCGCTTCTTCCTGGATCTGGACCCGGACCTCTTCGAACTCATCCTCTCGTGGCTGCGGTTCTTCTCAATAGCGCCGCCGCACGGCTCGGTGGTGCCAGAGCCTGCGGTGCCCCCTGGCAAGACGGAGGCAATGATGGTGCGCGTTTTTTTTGGAGGGGGGGCGGGCGTGTATTAAGCAGCAGCCTGCGCCGCGCGTGTCGCCGTTACTGTTCTGTCACTGCATGGCGGGTGCGCGGAGGGGGCGTCGGGGCGCGAGTATCAGCCCCACGCGCGCGCTCCGCAAAGTTCCTGCGGGGTATCGAGGCACATTTAGCGTGGCTTATTCTCAAACCAAGTTGACCTTCTGTGGCCTTGCGTCCTCGCAGCATGCCTGCCCCCCATGCCGCTGCCTGCCGCACCCATGACCCCTCCGCTTCACCCCCAAACATCCCTCTCCCCCTCGCTCGCAATGAGTGAGAAGCAAATAATGCCTGGTCCCCAAACACATTTCACCTCGGCAGGCCCTCCTGGACTACCTCTGCCTCCACCGCCACATCCCTATCTCATACAATGAGACCTTCAGCGAGCGCCTGCGCAACACGCCGGGCATCCATGTCGCGGGCGACACGGTGTCGCGCATCGAGGAGCGCGGCTGGGGCGGCGGCGGCGCCGCGCGGCCGCCGCGGACGCTGCTGGTTGCGACCGGGCTGCACAGCTTCTTTGACACGCGGGTGTGTTGATTAGGGCGGGGGCGTCTTGGGGGCAGGCGGGCGCCAGCCCACCAGCACGCAGCCCGGACTCCTGCCCTGGCAGACGCCCCGCTGTTGTTTTCACTGGACGTCTTGGTCAAGCACGCCGTGCCTCCCTCCACCGCTGGTGCACCTGCATCTGCGGTCACCCCCGGCCATTGCCGTGGCGGCAGCAATGGCATCGCGGCGAGCCCCTTTCCCCACCACGGACGGCGTCTCCATGAAACCTCCCGCTGGCAGGTCGACCTGACCCTGGAGGTCATCTCATTCGCCCACTCCATGCCCGACACTGCGGACGAGTTCGCGCCCCAGTTTCTTGGTTTCATGCGGCGCAGCGTGATCGAGGCACTGCAGCTTGGCGACCCGGCCTCCAAGCCCACGTGGCACGAGGGCTGCTTCGGTGCGGGGAGCGGCGCCCGCCGCGCGCGACGCGACACGTAGCGCCCGCGTTGCACGGCTGACGGGCGCGACTAGGGTTGCTGAGGCTCGCGCCTGCTCACCTGCGGCTAAGCTGGGCGTGTCGGCGCACCCGCCGCATCGCTCTCTCACCCAGGCTGGTGGACCGGCGGCGCCAAGGGGTTCCTCATCCACGATGGCATGAAGGGGCGCCATCCCTGCAGCGACGCCCTGCTGTGGCACCAGGGCGACCACATACAGGTGGGGGGTTGGTGCCCTGCAATGACGGTCTGGTCATCGGCTGGCCACCCTCAACACAGCCCCCACCCGCTGGTCGTGGATCATCAACCCGACGTGTGCGAGAATTTGGTGCTGAGTGTCCACGCAGACAGTCAGCACCTGGGTGCCTCATGAATACGGCCCAGCCACCCTTCCTCATTCAAGCAAGCAGCACGCACATCGGACAATTTCCCGCTTTTTTGTGCCCTGCCCTGCTCGCGCCGCAGCTGACGATTGACTGCCGGCGCAGCCGCCCCCACTGCTTGATCAGCCTGCGCAACACTGTCACTGGGATGCGGCTTGCAATGGAGACAGTCCCGCGGGCCAACGGCGGCGGCGGCGGCGGCGGCAGCGCGCGCGGGGGCGCGAGGGGCGCCGGCGGCGGCAGGCAGAGGCAGCAGCAGCAGAACGGCGCGGCCGTCGCAGGGGCGGCGGCAGGGGCCGCAGGGGAGCAGCCGCCCCGAGCAGCGGGCGCAGCAGCAGCACCAGCGGCTAACGGGAACGGCGCCCACAACGCCCCAGCACAGGAAGCTGCCGGCGCGGACGGCGGCGGCGGCGACGGTGCGGCGGCTAGGGACGGCGGCGTGGGGCAGGCGCTGCACAGCACTCTTAGCGAATGGGTGTTGGTTGTGGGCCTGTCGCGGACAGGTGAGCCTGGTACATGGCCAACGGCGGGCATGGCCAGCAGGAGCAGGGGCGGTCAAAGCCTGGTCAAACGTCAAAGCATGCTTGCGCTTGCTCAGAACCCTGATCTGGATCGTGAGCCTCAATTCTGTGCCACCTGAACGCCTCTATTTCTATTTGTGCAGGCGACACAATCCGGATCAACCGGGCGCGGCGTCGTGGGATGCGGCCAGAGTGAGGGCATCATACATTGTGCTGCTTCCGAGCAGCAACTGCGTGGCAACGAGCGCAGGGGTGCCAGGGGGTACTTGGCAGTACATTCCCCTGATTTTGTAGCATCTTCTGAGTGTGTATGATAGCAGCTTCAGCATTCTGCGGCAGGTGGGCGGGCAGTGGCGGTGTGCGCTGGTGACTCGTAGCCAGCCTTGACTGCCTGGTGGGGCCTCCGCCGGCAGCTGCCCCTTCGCAGGGGCGGCGCGGCTTTTGTAGGGACGGATTCAGCAGAGCGTGCAGGTTTGACTGCAAAATAATCCCTGATCATGCTTCCTTTGGTCATCTTGCGCCATCTGTGGTTTTTTAAGTCAATCAATGTGGGCATGTTCTTGGCGGTGTGGTGTTCGCCACTGTCAACCATCGTGGTGCCAGGTCAACCTTTGACAAACAAGTTCGAAACAAGAGTTAGCCAGAGAATGCCTGCCTGACACAGTAGCGCCGCTTTCGAGTTGTCTGCGGTGAATTGATGGTGTCAATGAACCACGTCATCTGCAGCTCAAGCTGTGTTGAGATATAGTCACTCAGTCACTCAGTGAGCATCGTCGCCTGGTCGCCACTTGCACGGTGGCATCACGGTCGGCTTGGTATAGGAAGAAGGCGAAAACGATGTGAGCAGATCGGAGTTTTGATTTTACCGTATCCTTTCGTCTACCAGTGACTTTGTGTTGATCTGCACGCGGCCCGTGCAGCGTCACATAGTCCTGTTCGAGAACGGTAGCGCACACTTATCCATAGGCTACATGTGGCGCTAGATCCACGTGCGAGTGCAGCAGCTGTGTAGCCGCGGCGAGCGCCGCATAGCCGGCGGCGCAGCGGGGATGGCGACGCCGCTGCTCGTCCTGTACGGCTCACAAACAGGCAACGCGCAGGCAAGCGCACATTCGAGAGTTGCAGCGCGAGAAGCATCAGACTCGCAAAGCCAAACGCACGCACCACCTTGAATCCTGCCGCCAAGCAGCAACTGCGTAGCACATGCCCCCGGCCCGGCACGCCCGAGCCGCCGCGCCGCTTCTGACGCCCACTCCACAGGATGTCGCCGAGGGGATCGCCCGCGAGGCCCGGCTCCTGCTGTTTGAGCCACGGGTGCTGGCCATGGACGCGTTCCCGGTGGCAGCCCTGCCCGCCGAGCCAGCAGTCGTGTTCGTCGCTTCCACCACCGGCCAGGCGCGCCCCGGCTTCCCAGTCCCCCCTCCCTCTCCCTGAACTGGGGGCGCGCGCTTGCGCCCCCACGTGGCGCCCGCCTTCCTCGCTCCTCCTAGGCAGCTGGCCGGCGCAGGGATTTGACTTTCCCTTTCACTCCTTTCACTTCTCGCCTTCAAATTCTGGCCTCCTTGTGCTGCATGCCCACAGGGGGACCCGCCAGACAACATGCGCCGCTTCTGGCGCTTCCTGCTGCGCAAGAGCCTGGCGGCCGACAGCCTGGCGGCCACGCGCTACGCCGTGTTTGGGCTTGGGGACTCTGGTTATGTCAAGTTCAACGTGCGTGGTGGCCGGGGCCACGGGGTTGGCGGTTAGCATTCCCTGGTTTCGCTTGGCAGACCAGTTGGCAATGTGCTCACATTCCAACCAGCAAACACAGTCAGACCTGCGCGCGTATGTGTACATGCATGAACACACACACACACACACACACATACACACACACAGCAAACACACACTACACACGCAAATGCGCCAACGCACGCACGACGCATGATCAGTCCGCAGCCAAAAAGCTGGACCGGCGGCTGGCGGCGCTGGGGGCGATCCCCCTTCTGGAGCGAGGCCTGGGAGACGACCAGGTGCGATTTGCAATGACGACCCGCACCCCCCTCAAGCCCGACACCTGATGTCGGCCTGGACAGCTCCCTGTCGCGTGGCCCTTTGTTTTGTGCACCGTCTCGTGGCCAAAATGGACCGCATGGCGTCGTTTTTGACTGGGCGCCCAGCGCATGCATGAGGGGTCCGCGTTTCGGCTCGGCGCTTGTTGCGCGATCCTGACCCCTGCCCCGCGCGCGATGCGAACGCGCCGCGTCGCGCGCAGCACTCTGGGGGGTACGACGCGGCGCTCGACCCCTGGCTGCAGCAGCTGTGGCCGGCGCTGCGGGCCGCGTTTCCGCTGCCGCCCGGCGTTGAGCAGGTGTGGAGACCTGTGCAAGGCGCCATGATTTTGGCGATAACGAGTCTGATCGGCCGGGATTGGGTCCGCTTCCTGGCCAGCAGCGTGGGGCAGTTTTTGTGCGCTCGGCTTGTGCATGAGGCTGGTGCTCATGGCTCCCCAGCTTGTTGCCATCCCGTCCTGCAGCTTCCGTAGTGACTCGTCCTCGTTCCACCTCATGCGCGATCACAGCCTGTGTTGGACGCAGCAGCACGGCTGCAGCTTGGGCCTCCCAAATACAAGGGCGTCCTCCTGGATGGGCCCACCGCAGCCGCCGCCGCCGACCCGGCTCTGAGCAGCAGCGCGGGCGGCGCCGCTGACGAGGAGCAGCTGCAGCGGGAGGCGACGGCGGCGGCCGCTGGCTTTAGAGCAGTCGCCGCCGAGGCGTCCGGCATGCCGGCGGTTGCTTCCGCAGCCCCGGGGCCAGCGAACGGGCATGCAGGCACATTGAGCTGCGGCCCGTGGCGCCCGTTCTTCGCGCCGCTGCTGGTCAACCGGCGTTTGACCAGCCCAGATCACTTCCAGGACACGCGCCACCTGGAGTTTGGCCTGTCGGGCAGCGGGTTTGAATACGAGCCTGGGGACCTGCTGGCGATCTTCCCCAGAACGCCGGAAGCAGACGTGCAGGTGAGTTGTCTGATACTTGAGGGTTGATTTGGACTTCGAGTGGCATCAGCCTTGCAACTTATTGAGAAGTAATTACATAGAAACACGTCGCACTGGTCTGGTGCGCGTCTGGTGCAGTGAGTTGCAAGTGGCCGTGGCTTGGTCGTCGTGTGCATCGTCTGAATTTTCAGCGTGGTTTGCAACACAGCATGTGACGCCGGGCAAATATCAGCTGCATGCACGCCCGCGCGCAGCCCCCGTCCCAAAGCAAAGCCCTGCCGCCGCCGCAAGCGGTTGGGGCCTCGGACACAATCTTAGGGGGAGCCGCAGAGCGAGGGGCCTCACGGCTCCTGGGGGCACCTGGACGCGCCGCCCTCCTCAGCCGTGGGCGGCGGGTTGTTTTCGCACCCAACAGCCGGCTTCGATCCACACCGCAGTGCATGATTAATTGCACACGCAGGCGGTTGCGCAACGTGCAATCCTGCCATTGCATCTGGCGACATTGTGTATCACCCTAAAGAAGTTCAAAACCGTCACTGCGGTCTCCATTATCGGAATGTTGTTGGCATCTCGTCCGTCCATGCTTTGACTTCTGACCCTTTGCACAGGCAATGCTGGCGCGCCTTGGGCTTGACGGGCGCCAGCTGGTCAGGGTGGAGGCCGCGCGCCCCGCTGCGGGCGGCGCGCCGTCGCTGGTCGCCACCGCGCACGCCCTCGTCCAGGTGCGTTCCCTGAGATCACGCAAACACGCGCGTTCCGCAGCCACCGATGCCATCGGTTTCGTATGTCATTCGCGTGGGGCGCGATCCTTGGAGCGCAGCCGTGACGACCCGTGCGACATCCGCACTGGCATGGCGCCATCACACCGAACGCTCGGCGCCTGTCCCGCTCACACCACTCACCCGGACAGGGCGTACTGGACGTGTCCGGGGCGTCACCCAGGCGGTACCTCTTCCAGGTGGGAAGTTCACGGTCCCTCTGCCACGGCGCCCACGCCTGGGTGATCTCGCCCGCAAATGCAGAGCATTGGGGTCCTGGAGCAAACAGGCTGCTGTGCCACACCGCCTACACTGGCACATCGTTGGCAAAACCAACAGAACTAGAAATCCTTCACATGTCACCCCAATTCGCTGCTCATGACTCGCCAAACCTTGTAGGTCCTGCAGCACTATGCGACGTCGGAGCGCGAGAAGGAGCGGCTGGCGTACTTCGCGTCACCAGAGGGGCGGGACGACCTGTACGAGTGAGTGAGAGGTTTGGGGCTGTGGTCACCAGGGTTCGCATGCCCTTGCTGCCTTGCTGTTTTGAGTTTGCAGCTCAAAGAACGGAGTCCTGCCTCTGCGATGCCCCAAGTCAGGCGGCAACATGCAGTCGGGCGCCTGTGTCGGGCCGCCGCACACGCGTCCTTCACTGGCCCACCCGTCCACTTCCCCCTTCGTGTCCTCTCACTCACACACTC